CACACAGGCGCCATCTTGTTTCCCAGCTTTAAACAATCACACGTCCACGACCATCGATGATCATTCATCCAATCACAGCTCCACTTACTGATCTTGTAGACATGAAGTTCCTCAGTGAGCAGCTCTCTTCTGTCCTCAGCAGGTCCGTGAAGAAAAGGAGCTCCGTGCTTCACTTCAGCTTCCAGGTGACGCAGCTTGTTAGAGCTTGTTCTTCATCAGAGGGTGTGTCCTCACGTCACCAGCAAAGTATGCAGTCTGACTGGTCGACTGAGTCTGAGGCCGTTTCTCAATATGCGTTCTTGTGTGGACTTTTGTTCTCGTGGACTCGTGAAACGTCATCAGTCACAGCCCGAGTACTGTTCCAATTCTCAAGTCCGCATCTGGCCGAGAACGGTCATAATACCCGGATGTGACTCGCCCCGCCCATTTTACCGGGCATGCATCGAAGCAGGCTCGTCTGTTCTTGTGAGAGACATATATCCCAGAATGCATTTCACCTCAGCAAGCTGCGATGGCAGATGAGATACTTGCGTGCGTAAACAAAGACCGCCTACTGTGGTGACGTCATCAAGTCAGCTGCTGTTCCAATTGCGGAAATGTCCGTTCTCCGTTCTCCCGTACCCGTGAGTCTGTCTCCCGAGTCTATTCTCGCGGGAACGCGAGTCCGTTCTCGCCGTCTTAGGTATTGAGAAACGGACTGAGTCTGAGCTGTTTACAGGGTCAAAGGTCCTCGTGCACATAGAATAGAATAGAAGTACTTTATTGATCCCTGAGGGTAAATTCAAGAACAGAACAGAATCCTCCTCACTGCTCAAACAAGGATCAAAACCAGCATCTGTGTTAAGTTGTTCCTGTTTTTACTATCTTTAACTGTGTTTTGCTGGCTCTGTGGCACTCTGAGATCTTTTGATGAAGATGAAGTGTGTTATATATAAAATGTATTATTATTATTATTGTTGCTATGAGACTGGATGCTGTAGTTGGAATCAGATAGTTTAGAGCAGCGATTCCCAAAGTGTGGGCCGCGAGAGGTCATTTACAATAAATAAATAAAGTTTTTAAATTTAAAATTTTGAAATCAATATAAAAATATTTATGATGCGGCACATTAGGTATGTGGAACATTAATTGATGAAGCACAAACAATTTAAACGGACAGATTAATAAAACAATGAGGCTCTCGCTCCAAACGGCTGCTCTTGTCCGCCTGTCGTTGTTCAACAAACGCGGCGCCCTCTTGTGGTATTAAAGTCAATACACCGCATTGTCCGCACTCCAAGGCGCATTTAAAAGGCTTTAATCTCCTCAAAAAACACAGCGCCTTATAATCCGGAGCGCCTTATATACACGGATCAATTGGTTGATCGGTTGATCCGTACTGGTTGTTCACTCTGCCAAACACGCCGAAGCTCGTCTACGACGGCGAGACGCTGAGATACGGAGCTGCTTTCAGGGCGCGTCGGAGAAACAAAGCTGTCGTTCTTCATGAGACTAAAGAGCGAGAGACGGCGCCCTTTTCTCTACAGCAGCTGAACCGTCTTAACGTGTTTTGACAACGTTTTATCTCATCATTTCAGTGCGGAAACGGGCTTCTATAGTTGTGCGGGTGCATCGCTCCAGCCAATCCACAGACGGGGTTTGTAACCAATCAGGTGTAGAGACCATGTGACTGGCTCCGCCCCCTCACTGTCAGAAAGAACAGCGAGCGCGTAGAAAACTCCTTCGAGCGCGAGCAGAGACTCTCCTCGCGAGCGAGTTCACGTCTCTCGAGCGGGCATCTCGCGCGAGACGGACTTTTGCTGGCGGAGGTTTGATTTACGCGCATCAACCTGATTTGAGCTCTCGAATTCTGACAGTGATTTGCGCTGATAGACTGCAGGATCTTATGCGCCTTATTGTGCGGAAAACACGGCACATGAGCTCCGGAGGAAATGGTTCACAAAACATACATTGTCGGTTAATACATGTTTAATCGGTTCAATTCTCAAGGTGATTTAATCATTATGTTTTGATCAGAGTTGTGATTAAAGGTTTGGGCCGCAAAAGATTTTCAGATTTCAAAGTGGGCCGCGGCGTTCTTGAGTTTGGGAACCGCTGATTTGATCAGTAAGAACAAAACAAATGTGTTGAGTGAAAGTTTTTTCTGTTTTCTGTTTCTGTTCTTTTCATGCTGTTTATTAAGGTCAAATACAAGGTCACGCCTCTCTATCCTCTATCGGACTTGTTTTAAAGAAGAACAAAAGAGCGTAAATAAGGAATGAAACATAAAGACAATCTGACCCCGTTATGATGGTCGTGGAAACACTGAACACCAGAACACCCTCTAAAGCCTCGTTTAGGCGTCTGCGTTTTCAGAGCGACGCAGACCCAAGACCCCCTTGCGTGTCCCTTGCGTCGCTTTTCACACCTCCTCGCGTCCTCGCGTGTGTCGAGACATTTTTCTCCTGCAGCACCAGGCTGTGATCGGTCCGCTGACTACGTCCTTTACGGAGTCTCACGTCTCCGCTTTCACAGCTCGATACGGCCGTTATTAAAAGGAAGAACGTTTACGGGAGAACGGATCAGATTAAAGAACTTTTGTCGGAAGAAATGCGTAAATATGACGCTTATACAAGCCGCCATTGGCGGGTTTAGAAGCGGGTTGGATTCACGGAGGGAGGTCGCCGCAGACGCCGGTTTGCCGGTCGAGAGGAACAAAGTCGTGGAGGAAAATACGGGACAAATGTGTCCGTGATGAAAAGCAGCAGTGTGGATGCACGGGGCAATAAAGTCTATGATGCATAAACAAACAAATAAATAAATAGACGTGACTCTCCAGATCGTCTTCTACAAAACACGTGACTCCACCTGTTGTTCTGGAGGTGAATCGCTCTGCAACACACGCAGGACTTTACAACCAGGAAGTGAAACCAGCGCGTCGACGCGTAAAGACGCAGAAACACGCGGCGGCCTTTAGTTTTGTTCTTCTCTCTGCCTGAAATATATCGCGCTCCGGAGAAGCTTTTCTTCTTGAATTAATGCATTCCAACAATTAAATTAAATGAGATACATCTTTGTTCTGTACTTTGTAATTTGGAGGCCAAAGACTTCAGTCCTTCTTCGGTTTGGTGCATGAAGGTTTAAAGTGATTGAAAGTCTCTCTGCTGGAGGAACGCAGCGGGATTGTGGGTAATAGCCAGCCATAGATTGTTCACAGTGGAACCAAATCTCTCTGACCGCGACAGCGGTCAAAACCCTTTCACTCTCCGGATCCGACACGTGATGTCAATGATTACCTAACCTCTTATATACACTCACCTAAAGGATTAATAGGAACACCAAACTAATACTGTGTTTGACCCCCTTTCGCCTTAATTCTACGTGGCCTTGAGTCAACAAGATGCTGGAAGCATTCTTTAGAAACGTTGGCCCATATTGATGGGACAGCATCTGGCAGTTGATGGAGATTTGTGGGATGCACATCCAGGGCACGGAGCTCCCGTTCCACCACATCCCAAAGATGCTCCACTGGGTTGAGATCTGGTGACTGTGGGGGCCATGTTAGTACAGTGAACTCATTGTCATGTTCAGGAAACCAATTAGAAACGATTGGAGCTTTGTGACACGGGGCTTTATCCTGCTGGAAGCATCAGAGGATGGTACATGGTGCCATAAAGGGATGGACATGGTCAGAAACAACGCTCAGGTAGACCGTGGCATTTAAACGATGCCCGATTGGCACTAAGGGGCCTAAAGTGTGCCAAGAAAACACCCCCCCCCACCATTACACCACCAGCAGCCTGCACAGTGGTAACAAGGCATCATGGATCCATGTTCTCATTCTGTTTACGCCAAATTATGACTCCACCATCTGAAGGTCTCAACAGAAATCAAGACTCATCAGACCAGGCAACATTTTTCCAGTCTTCAACTGTCCAATTTTGGTGAGCTCTTGCAAATTGTAGCCTCTTTTTCCTATTTGTAGTGGGGATGAGTGGTACCCGGTGGGGTCTTCTGCTGGTGTAGCCCATCCGCCTCAAGGTTGTGCGTGTTGAGGCTTCACAAATGCTTTGCTGCGCACCTCGGTGGTAACAAGTGGTTATTTCTGTCAAAGTTGCTCTTCCATCAGCTTGAATCAGTCGGCCCATTCTCCTCTGACCTCTAGCATCAACAAGGCATTTCCGCCCACAGGACTGCCGCATACTGGATGTTTTTCCCTTTTCACACCATTCTTTGTAAACCCTGGAAATGGTTGTGCGTGAAAATCCCAGTAAGTGAGCAGATTGTGAAACACTCAGACCGTCTGGCACCACCAACCACGCCACTCTCAAAATGGCTTAAATCACCTTTCTTTCCCATTGTGACACTCAGTTTGGAGTTCAGGAGATGGTCTTGACCAGGACCACACCCCTAAATGCATTGAAGCAACTGCCGTGTGATTGGTTGATTAGATAATTGCATTAATGAGAAACTGAACAGGTGTTCCTAATAATCCTTTAGGTGAGTGTAGGTGAGCACAGGACCCGAGAACAGCGCACAGAATAAAGACATTTCATGGGACCATTTGGCTCCTCTCGTCTTGCTAAATGGACCAGTGGCCTTGAAGTTCTTAGTGTTAACTAGGACAAAGGATCGTGCTCCAGCAGCCTCAGAAGCTTCTGCTGCTTTTAGCTTCTGCAGCAGTCAAATCCCACAGAGCCTTTACAGCTTCAGACTAAAAACACACCTGTAGCACTTCACCTGTACCAGGTAGCACTTCAGAGTCTGACTTTCTGGAGGAAATTTGCTGTCTTATGAACATGTATTATTTTGTTTTAAATAGTTGTGCACTGAAACAAGAGAGGTGTTCACATTTCATTTTTCTTAATTTGAATAAAGGCCCAAATGATGATGATGATGATGATGATACACATTTGTGAGGGGGGGGCATTAAAGTGAGAGAAAGAGGGCAACTCATGTGAAAGCACTCGTTTCTGTTCTGTATGACATTAACATGTTATCACAAAAAATTAACATTAACGTTGTTGGTGTTATTTTGTCTTTATTATATTCAATCTGATACATGTTTGGAGTACATCCCTCTCCGCCAAGTCATTTATAAACATATTCCTGTTAACCTAAAGTAATACATGGAGGGTATCAACGTTGTACTATTATACTAACTAAGTATACTAAGTACTTGATTCATTAAACATTTCTTCACAGGTTGGCTGAAGCTTTCAAAAGGTACTGGATTTCAATTAATTTAAAATCGGCTCAAAAATAATTACACGTTCATATTTCATCTTATTCAGACTTCCATCTGCAACACCACAAGTCCCAGAGAGCTGTGGACCCCCAGAGTCCAGACCAGCTCAGGTACCCCTCACCTGCATCTACACAAACCTGTGCGACATCATTTACAGACTGAATCTCATGGTGAGCAGAGAGGAAGGTTCTCCAGCAGGAGGAGACTCTCCCTCCTGCAGAGAACACAGAGACACTGAGGAACCAGAACGGAACCAGAACCCAGGATAAAGAGGTTCAGTGAATGTGGTGCTGAAGGTGTGGAGGTGGATCAGTGTGTCAGAGGAGACTCTGTAGAAGGACAGAGAGCCAGCAGGACAGTCCACATACACTGCTACTCTACCAGCAGAGGAGGAGGAGGAGGAGGTGATGAATGTTTCTGTCTTATTGTGACAGACAGAGTAACCTTCATGACGGCATTTCAGACTCCAGGACTGATCACTTCTTCCAAACAAACAGTCTCCACTGTTTCCTTTCCTCTTGATTCCTCTGTAACTCACTGATACAGTAACGTCTCCTCTCCACTCGACCTCCCAGTAACAGCGACCAGTCAGACCAGTTCTACACAGCAGCTGAGCCCTGATGTCAAATCTGTCTGGATGATCAGGATACGACTGATCCTCCTCCACACATGTCACCTTCCTGTTGTTGTCAGACAGTTTGAGTTGTTTGTTTACTGTGTTTGTGTCGATTGTGAGTTCACAGGAATCTGATGAGAGAACAAGACACAAAACAGCTGCAGTTATTAATCATGTGTTCATCTACTGACACGTTGATGATGACATCACAGAGGTGAATGAGTGATGTCACAGTGTGAAGATGGTTGAATCTTCATGAATCAAAGCTCACTTACACTTCCTCAGACCTGGTGTCAACCATCGGACTCCATCAGGCTCCACCCTGAAAGGAGGAGGGGGTCAGAGCAGCATGGAGACATGGACATTACATCACTCCTTTGAAATCACAATAAGTCATCGACGTCGTCAACTGGCCAGCGTTTGATTGCAGTGTGACGAGGAGTAAAGAAGGGCGACAAATCACTCAAAGTTCGAGCGACCTTGCGAGGCTAATCTCGCACTCGCAGGTGTTTTCTACGCGCTCGCTGTTGTTCTTTCTGACAGTATATAATTAGATATATATAATTATATAGTTTGAGGTCAGCTCGGTGTGTCAGGGTCTCATTAACCAGGCTGACAGAGGAAAGGTTTCCAGCTCCTCTACAGACTGATGGTCTGTGGCTGCAGCCTCTTCATACCTGAGAGTCTCCAGTCTCCAGTGTGGATCCTCCAGTCCAGCAGACAGCAGCGTGACTCCTGAGTCTCCTGGATGATTGTAGCTCAGGTCCAGCTCTCTCAGATGGGAGGGGTTGGAGCTCAGAGCCGAGGCCAGAGAAGAACAGCCTTCTTCTGTGATCAGACAGCCTGACAGCCTGCAGACACACAACACAACACACATGTCACATGATCTGAGGGAGCCGTGAGGACTAGAAGGTCACTGCAGGACGGAGATATTGTCTCCTACTGAGGGGTCACATTAACATGGTTACTGACTGGTTTCCACTCAAACAAACAAACACCCAATAATCTACATCAACATCTGATAACGATGACTGAACTCCAATATTTATATTTGTATCATTAATAAATAAACTCAACATGTTTATGCAAATATTTGGAAATAAGATGTTTGATGTAAATCATGCAAGCAGAAATAATCTTACGATGTAAACAAAGACATTGATTGAATCCTGACCTGAGAGTCTCCAGGTCACAGTGTGGACTCTTCAGTCCAGCAGACAAGATCTTCACTCCTGAATCCTGCAGGTGGTTGTTACTCAGATCCAGATCTCTCAGACTGGAGGACTGAGAGCTGAGGACTGAGGACAGAACGTCACAGCTTCTCTCTGAGAGGTTACAGCCGCTCAGTCTGAAGAGACAACAAGAAGAAACAACATCTGTGTTCAAATTAAATCGTCTTTGATGAGGAGTTTAGACTCAAATAAAATCCATTAGAGCAAAGAAAACGTGTTCAGCATAATTGTTTTAAAGAAATCAGGATATATATTTAATGTTGTTTATTAGAGTTAAATACAAGTGAGGCTTCTCTGTCCTCTTCCTTGTTTAAAATGAAGATAAAGCACAAACAAATCAACAAACAAATAAAGTGTAAATGAGAAATGAAACATCAATAAATAAAATATGACCAATAAGTAGAAAAGACTGCAGCATGTTTACGTTCTGATGTATGAATCTGACTCTCTGTACTTACAGAACTTTGTTGGAGGCTTTGACCACCGGCAGCAGCCTCAGAAGAGCCTCCTCTGAAGCAGAGTACTTATTCAGGTCAAACACCTCCAGATCTTCTCCTGATGACAGTAAGATGAAGACCAGAGCTGACCACTGAGCAGGAGACAGTTCTTCTGTGGAGAGACGTCCTGAACTAAGGGACTGTTGGATCTTCTCCACTAGAGAAGCATCATTCAGTTCATTCAGACAATGGAACAGATTGATGCTTTTCTCTGGAGACACATTCTTACTGATCTTCTCCTTGATGTACTGGACTGTTCTCTGATTGGTCTGTGAGTGACTTCCTGTCTGTGTAAGCAGACCTCGCAGGAGAGTCTGATTGATTTTCAGGGAAAGACCCAGGAGGAAGCGGAGGAACAAGTCCAGGTGTCCATTAGGACTCTGTAAGGCCTTGTCCACAGCTTTCTGGTAGAGACGCATTGGTTTAGGTTTGTCTCTAAAGCGTTTAGACCGTCGGGAGGTTGTTTGTTCTTCTGTCAGCAGATTGACACCAGAGCTGAAGAAGGTCAGATGGACATGAAGAGCAGCCAGAAACTCCTGAACACTCAGATGGACGAAGCAGAACACCTTGTCCTGGTACAGTCCGCTCTCCTCTCTGAAGATCTGAGTGAACACTCCTGAGTACACCGAGGCTGCTCTGATATCGATGCGACACTCTGTCAGGTCGGATTCATAGAAGATCAGGTTGCCTTTCTGCAGCTGATCAAAGGCCAGTTTTCCCAGAGACTCGATCATCTTCCTGCTCTCTGGACTCCAGTGAGGATCCGTCTCAGCTCCTCCGTCGTACTTGACCTTCTTCACTTTGGACTGAACCACCAGGAAGTGGATGTACATCTCAGTCAGCGTCGTGGGCAGCTCTCCTCCCTCTCTGGTCTTCAAGACCTCCTCCAGAACTGTAGCAGTGATCCAGCAGAAGACTGGGATGTGGCACATGATGTGGAGGCTTCGTGAGGTCTTGATGTGAGAGATGATCCTGCTGGCCTGCTCCTCATCTCTGAACCTCTTCCTGAAGTACTCCTCCTTCTGGGGGCCGGTGAACCCTCTGACCTCTGTCACCATGCCGACACACTCAGGAGGGATCTGATTGGCTGCTGCAGGTCGTGTGGTGATCCAGAGGCGAGCAGAGGGAAGCAGCTTCCCCCTGATGAGGTTTGTGAGGAGCACACCCACTGAGGCCGACTTTGTGACATCAGTCAGGACCTCGTTGTTGAGGAAGTCCAGAGGAAGTCGACACTCATCCAGACCGTCAAAGATGAGTAGAACCTGGAACTCTTCAAACCTGCAGATTCCTGCAGCTCTGGTTTCACTGAAGAAGTGATGAACAAGTCCCACCAAGCTGAACTTCTTCTCTCTCAGCACATTCAGCTCTCTGAAGGTGAATGGAAATGTGAACTGTATGTCCTGGTGGTCTTTGTCTTCAGCCCAGTCCAGAGTGAACTTCTGTGTTAAGACTGTTTTCCCAATGCCAGCCACTCCCTTAGTCATCACGGTTCTGATTGGTTCCTCTCCTCCAGCTGAGGCTTTGAGGAGGTCTTCTTGTCTGATGGTTGTTTCTTGTCTGGCTGGTCTTCTGGATGCTGTTTCAATCTGTCTGACCTCATGTTCTTTATTGACCTCTGCAGTCCCTCCCTCTGTGATGTAGAGCTCTGTGTAGATCTCATTCAGAAGGGTTGGGTTTCCTGCTTTAGCGATCCCCTCAAACACACACTGGAACTTCTTCTTCAGGTTGGATTTGAGTTCACGCTGACAAACTGGAGCATGAAGTCCTGGATGAAGACAACAAAGAAGATCCATGAGTCAAAGAACAGATTTCAACACGTCCTTTGACATGACTATGAATATATTCTGTCCATCTCTTCACATCAGTGAAGGTCTCATTCATCAGCATGGTAAGTCTGTAGAGAAATCCTCTTACTGCTCTGCAGACGCTCAGCCAGCTCCTCCTGCTTCATTCTCCTCAGGAAGTGCACTGAGATCTTCACAAATGCCTCTCTGCTCCTCCTCTGCTCTTCATCCAGCACCTCTTCATCCTCCTTCTCCAAGCATTCTGGGTAATCTGAGCTCACGACCTTCTGGATCTTCTTCAGCTCGTTCTTCACAAAAGTGAGGATGTTCTCCTCCAGCAGCTGGAACAGAACATTCTATGAATGACACAAACTAGAACACGGAAGCCACCATCAGGTCCATGTTGGACAGACGGACAATCCACTGGTCTACAAAGTGCAGCATGGAGATGATGGTGAACTGAGATGTAAAAGTAGTTGTTCATGTACACACCATGAAGATGGAGTCCAGGTGTGTTTGATGCTGCTGGGAAGACGCACCTGTGGGAACATCTGAGCTCTCCTGGTCCTCTCTGTGGAGGAACATTTATTTCATTTATTTGTTGCTTAATAAACTTCTGGATGTTCCACGTGTCACTGCTTGAATTGATCAAATGTCTGATTATGAACAATGGAGATATAATGATTCTCACATACATATGGTCATCTACACATACATCTGAAATACGCTGATATAGTACATAGATCCTATTCATTTGTATTAATTCAATTATTTGGGGTTGTTTTTATCTACATCAGCGGTTCCCAAACTCAAGAACGCCGCGGCCCAATTTGAAATCTGAAAATCTTTTGCGGCCCAAACCTTTAATCACAACTCTGATCAAAACATAAACTAGGGATGATTAAATCACCTTAAGAATTCAACCGACTAAACCGACTAAAAATGTATTAACCGACAACGTACGTTTTGGGTACCATTTTCTCCGGAGCTCATGTGCCGTGTTTTCCACACAATAATGCGCATAAGATACTGCAGTCAAACCTTTGGCGTCGGACCACGTCAGCTGGTCCACAGAGCACTGAGTTTATTCTAATCACATGATCATTCCCAGTCATCTGTCTCCAGAAACCTGCAGCTGTCTCCAGATGTGACCTCTGCTGATCCTGATGTGGAGGAACTAGCTCACATTGTGTTTACATGTGCGGATGTTTATGATTGACACTTAAACACAAACAGACCAGTTAGATGAAGATAATGAGTTCTGTCATGATGGATCGTCATGGAAACAACACTTTAAACATTGAACGACCATTTCTTTCATTCATAACTGAGGATCAGAACAGTTCATCGGTTTCATTAGCCTTACCGTGGGTCATAAGAAGGGCGTCCATCTTTGAAGTTGATCGGCAAATCTTTAGACTGATAACTCTTCATGGACACACAGCTGGGTCCAGATCCGCTCTGCTGATGTGAACTGAAAGAAACACGGAGTTTAGATCATCATTTAATCACGAAGCATCAGCTCACATGGTGTTTGTACCATCAACACCAATACAACATTAAAGATATTTTCTTTTGTCAAAACAACAGCCGCAAAGCTAAAAACCAGATGCTGAGGATGTTGATGGTGGACGGACAGTTTATAATTTAAGTGACAGTCATCAGTTTCATCTGTTTTTAGTTCTTACTGAGGGCCATAAAAACAACGTCTCCAGACCTCTGTGTAATGTAGATGGATTTTTAAGTTGCTTCGTGACCATTGTTTTCGTTCGGCCAACTTTGCTGTAATGTTTAGTTGTGTAGGGTCAAAGATGACCAGCAGGTGTCACCATCTCACCACTAGGGGGGTGTCTGTGCATCGTACATGCGCTTCCGTGGGAAAGAAGAAGAACGGCTGACGGAGACTGTTCAAGAAAGCAAGTTGCGCTTCTTAGTTAATGGCAGTTATAGATTGAAAAGTTGTTGTTCTGTTGTAAATAGTGTCGTTATTAGGTTAGCTTGTTAGGCTAATGCTATGTGTTTGTCTGACTGTTGTGGAGAAGTCTGTGTGTTCTTATGTTTGGATGTGTGGGTAAAAAGAAGAAGAAGAACGGCTGACGGAGACTGACGTTGCACAGACACCACCACCATTAAAACGGTTTACGTTTATATGTATTTAAGGTGTCGGCTGTTGTTCACTGAGAGGAGGGCAACATCTGCATTTGGTACAAAGTCCTATGAAACTACTCTAAACCTCTGCATGGACTCCAGGGACCACGTCAGCTGGTCCACAGTTTATTCTAATCACATGGTCAGTCAGGCTCAGGAATATCCTGATGTGGAGGAACTAGCTCACATTGTGTTTACATGTGCGGATGTTTACAGTTAATGATTCACACTTAAACACAAACAGACCAGTTAGATAAAGATAATGAGTTCTGTCATGATGGATCGTCATGGAAACAACACTTTAAACATTGAACGACCATTTCTTTCATTCATAACTGAGGATCAGAACAGTTCATCAGTTTGAGAACTTACTCTGGGTCATAAGAACGGTGTTCATCTTTGAATCGTAAAGGAGGATTCATAGACCAGTTACTCTTCGTGGACACACAGCCTGGTTCAGGAGACTTTCCTCTCTGCGGATGTGAACTGAAAGAAACACTGAGTTTAGATCATCATGTCATCATTGGACTCCTCGCAACTACTGGTCGTAGAGGAACCTATTGTATTTCAAGGAATTATCATTCTTCTTATTCTTTTCGCCAAGGAATTTTCCCTTTTTGAGGACCCCATCACATTCAAAAAGTTGGAAAATATGGCACGCTTATCAGAACTGGTGAAAAATTGGATATTTTGGGGGTCTCTCATTTGGGTACGAAGAAATGTCTCCATATCGCCCCCTAGAAAGGTAAAAAGGTCACCCACTAGGCCATTTCCCCCCCTGATGTACGATCGACTTGAAATTTGGCTGGATGATGGATCGTCATGGAAACAACACTTTAACCATTGAACAACCATTTCTTTCATTCATACCTGAGGATCAGAACAGTTCATCAGTTTGAGAACTTACTCTGGGTCATAAGAACCGTGTTCATCTTTGAATCGTAAAGGAGGATTCATAGACCAGTTACTCTTCATGGACACACAGCTGGGTTCAGGTCCAGATCCAGGACCTGGTCTCTTATGGATCCTGGTCACACATGTAGAGCCATGTGTCAGTGTCAGTGAATCAAAGACAGTGGGACATGGAGAAGACTGGAGGACAGTTGGAGATGGTCCTCTCACCTCTGAGCTTTGGTCTGGCTGTCATGTTCCCCACACAGAGGAGGTTCAGAGGGAGGGACTCCGTCCTCTGGGTCCTCACCCTGATTCATAGCAGAGTCCACAGCTTCAGACCTTCACACCAACCTGCTGGGAGAGCTCACGTGTTCTTTATCTTCATCAGGACAAACACACAGAGCTCATCCACCTCAACACTAAAACTCTCACGGGACACTTTGTGTTGTTGTCTGTTAAAGTTTAGACTTCTAGAGAAAGACTAACTTTGTTTTTCCTTCTGTAAAGTCTGTTAACAAGAGACGTCATTTTATATGCTCGTCCTGTAATGAGGGTTAAAGGCTAAAGGACTGTAACTGAAGGTCGGGGACGTGTAACCAGTGGTGCATCTTTTAGAATGCAGAGGCAGATGTGATCCCAATATCCTTTATTGTGAGTGTGTTTGTGTAATAATTCTGTGTGTGGCTCTGCAAGAAATATCAGCATACTGCGAATAAGGAACAGCAATAACTGTCTACAGGAATCAGGAAACATTTATTGCCAAAATATGGAATTTGTCTTGGCGGTTGGTGCGTGACAGTAGACAGTGTAACAATAGACAAGACAGCAGTGCACAAGTAATAAAATAAAATGCTATGGGTTAGTAGAATATGGCTAAGGGTTAGTAGAAAATAAAGTAAAAAATATAGTGCACTATCGAACAAGTGACGAGTGAAAAATTACAGTTAAAGTGACGTGTGCAGTATGAGGGGGAGTGACCGGTGGAGTGTTATAGTCAGTCAGTGGGGGACCGGCTCTGTTGATGAGCCCGACTGCCGACGGGAAGAAACTGTTGGTGTGGCGGGAGGTCGTAGTCCTGATGGACCTCAGCCTCCTGCCAGATGGAAGGGGCACTAACAGGTTTTGTCCGGGGTGAGAGGGGTCGGCTACCATCTTATTAGCTTCAGGGTCCTGGAAGCGAACAAGTCCTGCAGGGACGGCAGATTGCAGCCGATCAGCCTCTCTGCAGAGCGGAGGACACGCTGCAGCCTGCCCTTGTCCTTGGCTGTGGCTGCAGCGTACCAGACGCTGATGGAGGAGCAGAGGGTTGGTGGAGCTGTGGGGGATGGGATCAGGACATTGAGTTCTACTGCAGATTCGAAAGACATTGAGCTCGTCTGCCAGGCGGAGGTCATTCATGGAGTGGGGGGGTTTTGGCTTGTAGTTGGTGAGGTGTTTGTCTCCAAACCGAAGCAGAGTCACTTGCTGAGAATTATTGTTGGAGTTTCTCAGAGTACAGTCGTTTAGCGTCTCACCGCCTTGCTAAACTTGTATTTTGCCTCTGTGTACAAGTCTTTGTCCCCGCTCCTAAATGCCTGATCCTTCTGCAGACGTAGTGTTCTGAGTTCCGCTGTGAACCAGGGTTTGTCATTGTTGTAACTCAGCCTGGTGCATGATGGTACACAGCTGTCCTCACAGAAGCCGATGTAGGAAGTTATAGCCTCTGTGAACTCATCCAGACTGTCAGTAGCTGAAGACATCCCAGTCTGTGCCGTCAAAGCACGCCCGAAGATCATCCAGCGCCTCATTCAGCGTGGTTACATGGATTCGAATAACTGGCTTGGAGGACTGAAATCAAATTATCCGTTTCATGTAAACACCTTTGTCCGACACTATGTGCGGCCCGACTAACACGCCTGGATAACTCCATCCGATCCAGTTGATACATGCCGCAATAGTCGCACTAACGGTGAATCGGAGAAGGAACTGGACTCTGCGTCTTTGCGCATGCTTGAGATCCCGACGACGTCTTCTCTCCGTTATCAAATCAGCCAATAGCGCCATTCGCTGTGCTCCTATTAAGATCACACAGACAGTAGAGGGATGTAGCTTCACCTCGCTCTCCGCTCGCCATCTTTCTCTGAATATTGTTGGTAGTGGTGAAGCGGTCAAGCGGAAATGGCTGTATCACAACTAGTTGTAATGAAAACAGCGCCACCTATCGTATCGTATGTGACGTGCTTTCTGCCAATGATTCGATTTATTCACTGCCATGTATATTGGGATAATAGCACTTGCCCCAAATGATAGCATAGTCCGACTAAGCAAAGATTCAAATTATACCATCATGTAAACAGACTGGTCCAGATCTTGAATTCCCTCACCACAAGTTTACAGCGAACTATAAGTGCACAAAATGGCTTTCGCTACTTTCTAGACCTACTGTGTTTGTGTTTACTTCCCAGCAGCAGCTGATTCGTCCCACATTCACAAACATATTGGTGATACCTTGATTTAAGAAAATATAAAGTAAGAAAATATAAGAAAGCTCAGAAATCTTTAGAGCAGCGATTCCCAAAGTGTGGGCCGCGAAGGTACTGCAGGTGGGCTGCGAGAGGTCATTCACAATAAATAAATAAAAAGTTTTTAATTTTCAATTTTGAAAAGTTTGAAATTAATATAAAAATATGTATGATGCGGCACGCTAGTTATGTGAAACATTAATTGATGAAGCACAAACAATTTAAACGAACAGATTGTTTAATCCGTTGATCCATACTGGTTGTACACGGCGCTCAAGGCGCTCTGCCAAACATGCCAAAGCTCGTCTACGACGGCGAGATGCTGACGGCGCTCAAGCGCGTGAGATATGGAGCTGCTTTCAGGGCGTGTCAGAGAAACAAAGCTGTCGTTCTCGCCGAGCACTTCATGAGACTAAAGAGCGAGAGACGGCGTCCTTTTCTCTACAGTAGCTGAACCGTCTTAACGGGGAACATAAGTTATTCTAAAAGCAGCCGAAGATTTAAGGCGTGGATGGCGAGGGGGGCGGCGGGAACGGACGCACCTTGCAGTGATCGGACCCTGGAAGTACCGTCTCCAAAACTTACGTTGTCGGTGAATACATTTTTAATCGGTTAAATTCTTACGGTCATTTAATCATCCCTAGTTTATGTTCCCTTGTTGTGAGTTGTGATTAAAGGTTTGGGTGGGCCGCAAAAGATTTTCAGATTTAAAGTGGGCCGCGGCATTCTTGAGTTTGGGAACCGCTGCTTTAGAGCAAAAGATCAAAATATCAAACAGACGGAGCACCAAAGGGATTCACCAAGTGATCGGCCTTTACAGTCATTTCATCCTTTAGTTGAATTCCATCAGTGTGCAAGAAACCTTCAGGTGTCAGCTGGTCTCCAACAACTGGTTACCTTTGGAGTGTCTCACAACTACTTTTTCGCAGCCTTGCACCAACGACACATTTGGAAAAAAGCGGTTCTTTTCTGCTAGTTACACAGTGACGTACATAAAAAGGAAAGATTAGAACAAACTGGATCCGATCTCTCTGCAGCACAATCTCAGGCGTCCTGAATCAGAATGCACTACGTCATTTCTCCCCTGTTGGCGGTCATTCGGTTCACTTCTTTCTTTAAGCTGCACTATAACATTTTGGTTCAGAGTGATCTGAAGACAACTGGTTACCTTCAACTCAGTTGAGGAGAGAAACTGTCAAAACTTTACCACAATAGTTCAAGATGGACTCAAAAGCCTGATTGATGCTACAAGAAGACATTCCTTGGTATTTTCTAATGTGTGTCAAACACACGTTAAATACTCCCCTAAAAGCAGAAACCGTGAGAATTAGTGGGGGCATTGCAGCGTGATTACATTCCTGTATTTAACTTTTATTTTGGCATCTTAATTCCTCTGATTCGTCAGTCTACTGTTAATCGGCTCAAATGATTTCCATCATTACAACTTTGGCAAGAATGGGCTTAAAAGAACAATTGAGTCAGAAAGGTTTGACCTTTGACACAGCAGACCAGTGTTATTTGGCCGGAAATACATTTCAGTGTTTCCCACAGATCCAAAGTCAATGTGTGTGTGTGTGTGTGTGTGTGTGTGTGTGTGTGGGGTTAAATAGTGTTAAAATAATACACCAAACGCAATGTGTGGTGGCCGGTGACTCTCCCTTAGAATATAGCGTGTGACCAACATTAGGCCTTCTCATCTTTGCCCTTTGACCTCTTCAGTCTTTACCTCTAAAGGCTCGCATTATTTAAAACGCTGCGCTACTTGCAAGTCGCTGCGTTTCTCTCTCAATTAAGTTAGAAAAAACATTTACGGCCAACGGAAGAAACTCATTTAGACACTCATTTAGTACAAGGCTTGTGCTTCAGAACTATGGAATGCTGTTTTAGTCAAAATTAAATAAATTAATAAATACGTAAATACATGAAATATGGATTTGAAATACATCATGAAATAAATAAGGCAATAAATACATTTAATTATTTCATGGTACTTTTATGTGTCTGTATACATCATGAAGAGCACTTATCCGCCCTAGTATTTCCAAAAACCCTCAATGTGTCAAAATCGTATCTGCAGAAAACCCATGTTGATCGATTTGATCTGCTAATGCTAGCATGCTAGCTCGGAGCCCACCGACGTCTTCCATCATGTCAACACTCACGTTCCTCAGCCAGCCTTCTTTTGCACACGGCTCTGTGGTCTGTTCTGAATGTTAGATGTAGACACGCCCCCTGATTTGCATATAAGAACGTGAAATGTAAAACGGCATTATGAAATAAAAGACTTTGGAAATGAAAAGTGGCTTCATGAAATAAAAGTACCATGAAATAATTAAATGTATTTAATATTTGTATTTATTGCCTCATTTATTTATTTCAAATGCATATTTCATGTATTTACGTATTTATTCATTTTTCGTTAATTTTGACTAAAACGGCAGAACGAGGGACCGACCACTTCTGTACTTTGCTCTAAAATGGCGTCGCTTCCGTGTTACAGTGACGGTGCCGCGCCCCACCGACACACACACACACGCACACACACACACACACACACACACACACACACACAGTGTCAGTGGTATCTGAAGTGCGCAGTTTCGGTTTAGCTGCTGCGCTTCAATCGGCAAAA